CACCTCCCCTCCCTCCCTCCCTCCCCGGTGTAAACATTACTGCTCGCCGGCGGGTCGTAATCGCGCTCGGCGCTCAGCGACTCGAGAGAGAGAGAGAGAGAACGAGGGCGGACAGTTTGATGTATCGTACGATAGAGAAAGAGAGCGGCACAGATCCACGCCGTGATCCATTCGGCCGTTTAGCCGCTCTCGGCGCGCCGACGGCCGACGGCCGACGCAACACACACGCGGCTTTGGCGCTCGACCTCTTTGCGCCTACGTGGGAGGAATAGGAAGTCGTGCATTAAATCCGAACCTCCACCTTTCAGCGCTTAAACGCCTCTCAAATGGCACGGCCACGGGTCCGCCAGCCGGCCGCGCGCCACTTCGAGCGCGCACAAAAGCGATTGCGCCCGTGATTGCGCCCATTTCCGAATCAAACGCGACGACGCGGCGCGGCGCGGCGGCCGCGGACCGTCGAAGATCGGACACCTGCTGACGCTGCTCCTTTCAGAACCTGGGATCCTGGAGGCCTGATCGAGGCTCTTCGAATAGCTGGCTTGATATTCGGCATCTGCCGATCTCGCGAGGCCTCGTTATTATCGCCATCCGCTCGGATCCCGTCTCGTATCATTTCATTTTTTGCTCTTAGGATAACGTCTCGACAAGGCACAGTACTTGCCTGATATTTATATCGCAGCTTCTCTGCGACATATTTACATTAATTAATCGACGGCGCGAAAAAGTTGTTGTGATCCTCGTGATCGCGTCGTTGATCGCGCACGTTGATCTTTTCTACTTGCTTTTTGTGTCTTGTTTTATTTTTATTCTTACGGCCGGTTGCTCCAACTTCTTGTTAAGTGATACAGTTGAATCATATATTTATCCTTGTTTTTCTTTTAATTTAGACAAAGACAGACACATATGATTTAACTATCGGTTAACTTACCGAGAGATTGGAACAACCGGGCCTTATAACACGTTACGTCTTATTCTTCTTCCTCTCCCTCTCCCTCTCCCTCTCGCGCCCAATCGTTCGGTACTTATCGTCAGCTATGAGAAACGATACGAGAAGTAGTTCTCCCAGACTTTCCCGCTCGCGCGTATCGAGCGGAAAGATCCAGCCTCGATCCAGCTCACTCACGATTGCGCGCGCTCGTTGCCGAATTAATCGCGAGCCAGCTTGTTCGTTGCGCGAACGAACCGAAGTTTCCTTCCCGTTCGCGGCTTGATCCGTCGCGTTGCAGTTAACGGCGGCATTGAAATTCCGATCCCTGGACGAACACGTGCCGCGAGCACGACGCTGCGCTCCTTCCTTCCTTTCTTCCTTCTCTCTCATCGCCGAGCGACGCGCGAATCAGCCGCTTAATTTCGTGCAAACATACGTGACGCGTAGCGTGAAGCGTCGAATTCGCGGCTGCGCGCGAAAATACTATCCCAATATTTCCTCGGCCGTATTTCTGGACTCGAAGATGGATCTCGGAGATTCCTCGCACCTCGCGACGTGTGACCAGATTAATTAAACACGCGCGAGGCCGTGATTCGCCTCTTTAACACCGCTAAACGCCGTGACGGTCATCGGCATTGCGACACCATCTCGCGTCTCGTTAAATCACGCATAAGCGTAATCAGTCGCACTTAAGAAGCCGTTTTCCTTCTGCGACTCGAACGTCAGTCAAGTTTTCGCAGAGTCGACGACGGAAATGACGGAAATCAATGCGACGTGTTTATTATTCAGGAATAATTGTTCTCGGATACTCTGCTGCACGCTCCCCCGACTTGACATCTTTTTCTCCGTTTGTTAACCGATTCCTCCGTCTCTCTCTCTCTCTCTCTCTCTCTCTCCTTCTCTCTCTCTCTCTCTCTCTCTCTCTCTCTCTCTCTCTCTCTCTCTCTCTCTCTCTCTCTCTCTCTCTCTCTCTCTCCTTTTCACAGCAGGCTGACTGATTATTTTAAAGAAATGTGATTGTCGCCGCGCGTCTCACGAGTCTGATCCTCGGCGCAAACAATGATGAAGAACGGCGTACGAATAACAATGTTCTGTATCCAGCAGCATCTCGTTACGCGCGTTTCTCTCTCTTTCTCTCTCTCTCTCACTCTCTCGCGGGGCAAATATCGATGTATAGAAATAGATACGCACGCGCGATGCAACGCTCGCGCGCTTCGTTCGACGTCTCTGTCTGCGGGCATACTTGATCTTAATTGGACGCATAGTATCTCTCAAAGTATGAATAGTGTCATGCGCGCGCGATGATGAAACGCGAAAGGATTTAGCCTTCGTCTTCAAGGCTGACCGCGCCGTTATAACCGCCGCGAACAATCGTCCGGGCTTCGAGTCGATTTCACACGACGCACCTTCCCGAAGCGCGTCGGGATGCTCCTCTCGCGAGACGAGATGATGTCGACAATGAAATTATGCGCTATTGCGTTACGAAAAGCGACGGAACGAAACACCCGGGACACCGTAAAACGGCGCGTAACCGTTCCGGGTGACATCAAACCGATGAGTGGCCGTAAGATGTGCGTACGCGCATATACAGGGTGTATAAAAAGTATCGGTCCAGCGAAATATCTCGAAAACTAAGCGTTTTGAGAAAAAATGTTTCGGACGAGAGTCGTTAAAATTAATTGGTAGAAAAAGCGTGATGCGATAAAAAATTGGGATTTCCATTTGAGAAAAGTAACGACCGGTGAATGTCTCGAAAGTGGCGCCATCTGTAAGCGACAAAATGACAAGTGATATAGTTTTGTTTGATGACCCCCCTTTGATGAAACCATGCAACTTTTGTCCGAAAGATTTTTCTCTCAGATGTTTAGTTTTCGTGTTTAGTTTCACCGGTACTTTCTATACACTCCGTATCTGTATATTCATGTATGTATGTATGTATATTAACGTGCATGTAATTGACCCGTTTCTATGAATATACATGGACTTCGTTACGTCGAAAGATGCAGTCGCATTCCTCGGACAGGAATGATAAAGAGAACTAGATCTCACGGGCGGCGGCTGGGGAGAAGGGTGCGGGCGGAGAGATGACGGAGACACTGAACAAAGATTTCTCGATCGTCGTGTTTCTAATGCAGAAGCGAACAGGAGAGGGAGTCACAGAATGCCATGCCCTCATTGCGTTCCCTTTCAGGGTCGCGTCAACTTGAGAATGTTAATGATACGCCAGCACGCGGCTAGTTGCGAGAATAATTAGTTTCTACAGTCGAGCAATTATCTTATGCAATATCACGGTGTGATGCGTTAAAACACGAAAAGAAGTCGTATAGCGTCTAAGAGATCCCGCGCGATCTCGGAGATAAGTTTGGATAAACGTCACGCGTCGATCGCTGATTCTTGCAAAGCGCAATCGTACGTTCTAAAGCCGAGTGCGTTATCGCGATTGAAGCTCGCGTCGCCGATGTATAATTTAATACATGTTCAAGCGACGAGAGACGCGTAAAAGAAGCTTCGCGTCATGCGCTGTACGCTCATGCGTGCGAAAATAAGACACTCGAATTTGCAGCGTAGTCAACTTCCGAGCCGACGACTCTCTTCGCTCGACTTTTGGACTTTACAATTACGAGTTGCACATCATGAATTCGCGTCCGAGCGATAATTGACTTATTTTATTTCTTTGCAGCAGTAAAAAAACGCTCTTTGGTCGCGACGCGAGGACTATGACACGCGCGTGCATACCGTGCGTAATAACCGTCGTCGATTGCATTGCGTGTTCCCGCGCGAAGCGCGATAATAAAATGCGCGCGTCGCATACAGCGCGACGGATAATAGAAAGTGATCCTCGAGATAGATAAAAAGAGCGCGGGAGGTGGTCGGCGCGCGTGAGACCGTGGAAATAAGAAGAGAGCGGCAACCTGGATTGCTTCCAAAACTCGCGTCCCACCTTGCGGAGAATGTCTCTCGGAAGAGAAGGGAAAATCGTAAGCGGCGGGCGACGTTTGACCGGAGGCGCGTTTCATTTCTCCGCGTGATAAGCCGCCGAACGTTGCGGAAATTCAGATTCTCGATTCGCGGGATATCAATCGAGTTCGCGAATTTCGCGTTCGCGCTCTCCGCGTGTACGATAATCATAATCTTTTCGTTGCGATTGATTACATCACGCTGTTGCTTACGATGCGTCCGTATAAATTTCGTTGTTTGTAAAAAAATTGAATATATTTCAAATATATTAAAGGGGGAATTATATTACATGCGGAAGGCCGTTTTCAAGGCTATTTTTACGAATTTTTTTACAAACAGAAACGGTAAGATCAATGGACTTGAAATATTCACCATGTATTTGTTAATATTCAGAGTATAAAATATAAAATATAAAATAAATTTTATTGGATTATAAGAACCGATCCAATTTGTAATTATAGATAAAAATACAGTTTGCGAACTGTATGTTCGCTGTCGGCGTAATTCCGGGCCTCTCACTGGTCTGAAACCAAAAAATGAGAAAGATTTTTAAAATATACGGTTGCCATTACAAGCCCGTACCAAAATGAAGGCAATGAAGCCGAGTTTGGAAAAATAATGACTGTACAAAAAAGAAAAGTATCGAAAATGAAACTTTTTTCAACTTGTAATCATGATTAAATAAAAATAAATAAAATAAAATATAATTGTGTTCGAGGTAGGGGCGAAAACAATGTACATGTCTACTACTGTATATTGTGTCTCTACTACTGTATATTGTGTAAAAGTTTAAAATTATCGGTTCGGTAGTTTTTGCATAATCGTGCCGACAGTTTATAAGAGGATGGTGTTTCCAGATAAACGCGTTTAAAGCTTTATGTGTGCTTTCCATACAGATAGTAACAAATTTATTTTATACTTTGAACATTAATGAATGACACTGTGAAAATTTCAAGTCTACAGATCCTACTCCAGTTTCTGTTAAAAAGATTCGCAGAAATATCCTGGAAAACGGCCTGCTCTGTGCATGTAATTAAATATTTCTCCCTTAAATATGTCTAATATCATGATTTTGATAACACTCTGATCGGCGATGACGGCGTTCTTATTTCAGGTGTCGTACAATCGGTAGCAACTGAAGGCCCGACAGCATGAGGAACTCGACGTTACTGAAATGGGCGCAGAATTCGGCGAACAATAAAAATCAGCCGAGCAAAAACGGAGGTGAGTAACCATCGCGGACTCTCTCTCTCTATGCACGTGCGACCGGTATTAGCAAATATGGCCAGCCGCACGGCGAAGGTTGAAAACCATCGCGACTCTTGTTCGCAGGAACGAGTAGGAACTGGATACACCCACCGGACGCGCTCCAAAAAGGACACATCGCCTACCTAGTCAAGGTACTGTGTAATCCCTATACTGTGCGAACACACATTCTCTCGCGGATTATAAGCAACGCGACGGACTATCGCGTGACTGCAATTTTCGCGCGCGACTCGGTTTATTCGTTAGCGCGTTTTTATAATTGTGACATCTGCGCACACACACACACACACACACACACACAAGAGGCTCCCCTTGCGAATCAAAATTCTAACTGCTCCGAGGTTAAGAGGAAAAAAAAACAAATTATGCGCAATCTCGCCTGATTGTGACATCCAATGAATTTCTCACTTTCGCGAGAGCCCGAGAATAATACAGTTTATCATCGAGAGACTACATTTTCGACGGAGAATGCAAATAGCTCTTCGCAAATAATACCGCGATAATGTGCGCACGTTGCGCAACGCCGCCGTGACGCACGATTGCAAAAGCGTGTCGTGGATAAACAATGAGAAAGCGGCGGACGTCACTCTGTCAATATTTTCGCGGGATCTTGAAATCGACGAAGGGGGAAGGTCGAGCACTCGTCGTCGATGTGTTTTTTCGGCCTTTATCGTTCGCGCGCCTGACGATCTTGATCGAGCACGAAAAGCATCACCGAGATGGACATCATCCGTTCGTGGGATTCGCCGCCGACGCGTGCGTACGCTTAATTACCTTTCGTTGCTAACGAACGTAATTAAGCTAAGCCGATTATTTCGCCGGGCGGAATACGAGGCACATCGCGCGCGCGGATTCCTGTGCACCGCATGAGAAAAAGCGGCGGAGAAATTGCCAACGACTGTTAAGCCGGCGAAAGGATAGCAAAAAAGAAGACGAGAGTTGTGGGGATAAAACCGCTCGCTCTTGCGATCGTTTTATAGATTGAAAAAAGCATTTCTGTCTTTCGCGGTATATATTATTATATTCGTTTGAGGAATGAAAGCACGCGGCTTTTCCTGAAATTATGTTAACTTATCAGTTTTATTAGTAGATTCCAGTCGTTTTGTCGCCGCCGTCGTCAGTGTTCGTCGCGTGATAAACCGCCGAACGTTGCGGAAATTCAGCTCGACTCGTAGAATCGCGAATCGAATTCGCGAATTTTGCATTCGTGCTTCGCATGCACGATAATAATAATCTTTTCATGGCAATTGATCGCATTACGCCGTTGTGTACAATACGTCCGTAATATTTCGTCGTTTGCAAAATATTCAAAAAATTGAATTACTTCAAATATACTCGCGCGCGAGTAATTAAATATTTTTAATATCACGCTTTTGATGGTTACGCCGACGTACTCGTATCCGCAAAAATTGATTTCGTCGAAGAGCGAACTCGAGTCGGGATTTCAAACTTTACGATAATCAATCGCGGAAGGGGAATTTAAACGCAGCCTTATTAACGGACGCGCATTGAACATTGATCGTATCGCATTTAACGGACGCGAGAGTCGCATGAATCTAATAGGATCGCGAGGAAAGTCGCAGACTGCGCGCGCGAACGCTATAGAATTGCTCAATTTGGACTTAATGATGGGAGGAACGTAATTTCCGGTCGGCACTGTTGTAAAAACAACAAGCGAGCCGGTGGTAGTTTGCGCTTTCTAGCTGGTTGCGAATCCCCCATTATTCGCGGATGACCTGTGCCAAAACGGGGAAAAAAGGAGAGCGTCCTTCGTGACTCGAACGCCCGGTGTATAGATGGGAATAGAGGGAGGGAGAGAGGGAGGGGGGGAGAGAGAGAGAGAGAGAGAGAGAGAGAGAGACCCGAGGCGTTCATTCATTTCGTGTCACCCGGAAAAAGTTGCGCAACCAACACGAGACCGTGTAACCAACCAGCCAGGCAGCCGATCGACCGAACGTCTGCCTTTCGTTTCGAATTGTTACCGACACGTATGCGAGTTTCCCCTCGTGAATACGAATATCAAGCATCGCGGATGATTGTCGCTCGTCGTCGGTAGCGCCGAGACCCGACAGCCGCGGGTTCGTTGAACTTCGAAACTTCGCGAGCGGCCAGATTTCACTATCTCACGGACAATACCACCGTGTGTCGTTGTTGTTGCGAAATAACGGAATTTTACCAGAATCGCCTCCCCCGTCTCCGATCAGATCCCTGATTTCGCGCGAAGGAAGAATTCATTTGGAATTATGACATTTTCACCCAAAGTTCAGACTTAGCGACTGAAGAAAGTCCAGAAAGGTATCCTGTTTACAATTTAATTGACTCCGTACAGTTTAGATTCATAGAGACGTTTGACTTAAATCCGAAATCAGAAGGAAAACCTCGAAATTGCTCGCAGCAACGACGATTTTCCAAGACGTTCTTCCAATCTTCTCAAACGTGAACTTTCCTCGTGTTCCGCTTAGCAAAGGTCGAAGGTGTACTGAAGAAAAAAAATCGAGTAAAAAGAGAATCCAAGTCTCCGCAAGATTTCGCAAATGTTCTCGCACTGCAACCGAGACATGAAAAAATCGCGATCGCATAAAAACGATTAATTGTACTCGCACCAGGAGAAGGAAGGAAAATGTTGCCGGATGAATCGAGGCAGCTGGTCCGCGGTGATGTTATACATAATACAATTCCGTGAAGGTAATTCGACGTGATGAACATTGCGGAAGAAATCGGCCTTTTGTGTCGGCGAGGTTCCCAGCCGTGTGTGGGCATCCGCCTGTTTCTACACGAGTCTTTTCGGCTGGATCTTTTTTTGCAACGCAGACGACGTGCAATTAGCTCGTCGTAGAAATCAGTCCCACGTACCATTATGTGCCGTCTGCTTACGCGCTTAATTACGATCGAATTGGATTTGCGTAAGCGAGCGAGATTATATACGGTTTCGTCATCCAGGAAACTGTATTTTTGATCGGCTAGAAAAGTATCCAGAGGTTATTAAACCAAGCGGCGCGCGACGTCATTCGTCACGTAGCGCGTGGTAATTATCGCCGCGCAGTTCGTCGATTATTATTATGTACCATCGCCTATCGTCCACGCGTATCGGACGAAAGTGCGAACATTTTTTATCGTCTGTTTATCGGCGGGACAAACGGCCGTCGAGGATGTGCGTCGTATTCGCAAAGATTCGCAATAAACGTCTCGCCCCTCCCCCCCCCCGTTGTTGCGAAACACATTTCACTCATTTCTTTCCGTCCGCTTGCTTTGCGAAATTATTACAAATACTGCGATATTGTGCTGCCGTTGAACGCTGTGACACGGTCGACTTTTTTCCGCATGACGTTCTCACGCATCGTAGTCGAGATCGCTCATTAACATTCTCGCGTCTCTGTCGTCGCACTTTTGCGCGTTATCGTCGTGATTTCGAAGCGCCGCAGCCGCTTTGTTTTTCACACATAATCGTGTGCTTGGTTTCGCACGTTACACTGAGCGAGCGACTTGTTGGGCGACTTTTCTCTCGGCGCGTCTCTGTGTTGCCTTGACCAACAAGAGAAGAGAAGATGTCGCGCCCTTGAGACCTTGTCGTGCAGAAGAAGCATGCGAGAGAATCAAGTCGATCGGTGTAAAGATATGATAAAACGCGGCGAGGAGTGCGCCGAGAGTAACAGAAAAAAAAAGAAAACACGCGCCGTTGATAATAAAGAAGTTTATTCGTGTCACGTTCTGCCTGTCACGTGCACGCGTTATGCCTAGAAGTAAAATTACAGAGTTTCCCACGCTCTCGCGCGCTCCCGCGTGGCTTACCTTCCACTTTTTGTGCGCGATAAACGCGCGCACACGCGGAAGCGAGGAACTCCCGTTGAGCTCACCTGAATTCTCGTACTCTCTTCATCTTCCCCGTTCGACTTGACGTTTTAGTATTTGGGCAGTACAGAGGTGGATCAGCCAAAAGGCATCGATGTCGTCAAGGAGGCGATCTGCAAGCTGAAGTTCAATCAGCAGCTGAAGAAGAGCGAGGGCACGAAAACTCCGAAAGTCGAGCTCACCATAAGCATCGATGGCGTGGCGATACAAGAACCAAAAACAAAAACAACCCCCAAGGTGGGTGTTAACGGGGGCTTTTCGTTGGCCGCGTTGTCGCTTTAAAAAAAAAAAGTTTCAGTTTATTTTCACTTAAACACATATTTATTTAATGTTTCTGTCTCTTTTGTCAACGATCACTCTTACACATGTTTTTACTTCGTAAAGAAGGAGTGTGTTTTCTGTTAATAAATAATATACAAGAGTAAGAGTAAGACGGACGTGATTACTACGCGGGGTAGTTCCTTGCCTCTGATTCTCGCGTATCTTAAGCGAGCTTGATCTTAGGTGGTGAAAAAAAAATTTACTCTTGCAGCGAATCATGCACCAGTATCCGCTGCACAGAATCTCGTATTGTGCCGACGACAAAGGGGAGAAGAAGTTCTTCAGTTTCATCGCGAAAGAGGAGGACGCGGAGAGGCACACGTGCTTCGTCTTTGTCAGCGACAAACTAGCCGAAGAGATCACGCTTACCATCGGCCAGGCGTTCGATTTGGCATACAGGCGGTTCTTGGAGACGTCCGGTAAGGACCTGGAGACGCAACGACGTTGTATGGTACTGCAGCAAAAAATAAAGCGACTGGAGCACGAGAACAACGTTTATCGACAACGGCTGCAAGATATCGCGGCTATCAAAGGCTCGGTTAGTTCGAAAGTACAAGATAAGAATACAAAGAATAAAAATAAAAATTGTATCGAAAAATAGGAAGTGCATTTTACACGTTAGTTTACGATGCTATTTTATCAGGCTATTTTGCTTCGTTGTTATTTAAATTGCGATTCTGCTGCTTGTACGCTTGTAGGCGGACGTGTCGACGTATCTATCGCAGCACAATCTGCCAGATATACTTCACGTACCTGGAGCGCCAACGGACTCACCACAGATTAACGGCACGACCACCACCAAGCCACTGTTGAACACGAGCAGCGATAGCAACGGAAACACGTCCAACGGGCCTCAACAGCCGCCGCCTGTTCCGCCGAGGAGTTTCGAGAAGAGCTTCGATGACGATTTCATGGGGTACGTTCGCAAGGCGATTGTAAAAATTCACCACAAATTCACTTGGCCAACGCATCTTGACTGATTCGCGACTGACTTACTTGTCGTTGCGCAGGAATGAGCCGACACCGATGCCGTCGGTCGGCACAAAATTGGAGGGGCTGTTGATGGACGAATTTGAGGAAGACTTCAATCCGAGGGCTTACGAGACAGCGGCCAACGGGCTTGCCAATCATCAGTCGAACAACAATCCGCTTCTCAATGGTCAAGTATCCTCGGGAACCAATTTCTTCTCGCAGTCCAACGGTACGACCAGTCCTCCGCCTTTATGTAAGTGTGTGGTCTCGATACCGCGGAAAGTGATTACCTTTCTTAATGTTACGTTATATAGCTGACGCTTCTTCTATTCCTTTTGCAGTGGCGCCACCACCAAAGACGAAAGATTCGAGACGTCAGAACGGAGTCAAGGAGGATCTATTTGGTAGCATTCCATTCAACCCCACACCGACTTTGAATATGAAGAATGACTTTAAAGACCCATTCGAAATGGGAGAATTCGGAGCGTCGACCGTGATGTCTAATCCTAGCCAGCAGGAATTGGAAAACGCTATCGGCCTGTTAGATAAGAGGCTGCTGGAGATGAAGGTACGGTCTAAGTGTATTTAGTCGTGAGTCTGTCTCTCTTCTCTGAGCGGGTGGTGTTAAACGTTGAAAATTTTCAGGATGGTTTCAGCAGAGGGCTGTGCATCGGAACCGATGACTTTTCCCTGGAAAGTTTGGACCCGCTACGAAACTAACCGAAACGACCGAAGAGCATAGAGAGCAAACTACAGTGGTATTCCATGAGGCGGACAATAACGAGAGATCAACGGATGGAGCAATTAGAAATTATGTCCGTGTAAAACCAAAATTAGTCTTCAATTATCGCTATTATTTTACTCGTATATTTATGAAAATGTTCGATATATTTATGGTACATATTTACGGAATAATTTTATAATCCTATGTAATCCTATACGTTCGCTGATCTACACTATTCTATCCGCTGCTTTAGAATCCAGGGGTCCAATTCGAGAATAACGCGCGGTAGAGCGTGTTGCGTCGTTATTAGCGATGAGTTGGTTAAAGCCGGGATCTCAAGCTGACCGTTAGAACGAAATGGGATATTACTCTAATCGAGGCCTACGTATTTTTTAGCTGAAAATATTTGTTATATGTATATGTATGTGTATGTATACTTAAACAGATCAATCGTGTCTTATCGCGAATCTCATCAATCAATGATGGTATGCTTGCGTCTTTCATATTTTTTAACAACATATCGGAAACATGAAAAAAAATTAATAGGTATTATTATATCTATTAATTTTATGTAGCTACATATCGCGCGTATCGGGTAATAATCGGGCGGCCGAGTCTCAACCTCCTTTAACAGGTTACGAGAAATTCACGATATATACTTTACATCTGACCTAGTTTAATTGAAGCTTGTCGCGTTGCCCACAGTTGTCTGTTGGAAGTGAGCTAGTAGACGACAAAAATGGAGCACTAACCGTCGTAGCGCGTTAGAGGTCACTAATAATAAAAACGCGTAGTTTGTCATTAGTCTGTCGGTTGAATTCGCACATTCTTCGCGCATATTCTCCTTTGATATGCTAATACTTCGCATTGTTTTAACGAGAACATAATTAGAAAGAAGGAAAAAAAACAATTCAACTATAGGAGCATGAGAGGTTCTAGCTGTAGATTTTACGGTTATCTACGTATCGCGATCCGATTTATGTAACGTGAAGCCTTAAAAGAATTCACGTTTATCGCTGTATAAAGCGAACTAATAATTATGTACATATGAAACGCTGTCTTATTTGTTGCTATGTTGTTTAAGAATTGTGGCTAAGAATATACTGTACGATTATTACAACAGACGTTCCACGTACTCTTCTTAACCGAAATCGGAGTATTAAACTCCAAAATAACTTGAAAGTTACATACGACTGTTGTCATAACTCGGTCACCGACGTTTCTGCAAGCGGGATGTTGTTTATAGACGAAATATTCTCTCTGCTAATGTCTAACATTTCCAATATCTCCAACAGCTCAACATTAATTTATTCTCAACCATCAATTGCTTTGGAATTTGACTCTTACTTCCATTGTACGATTGCAGATAATGGCATTTTTCAGGCCAGTATAGCTTTCTTTCTTGTGTCATTATCATAAGTAGTGTCTTATTGTCTCAGACATGCAATCATGGTAAGAGAGTAAGTATATTAAGCAAATTAAAATATAAGAAGAAAACCTCTTGCAGAATATGTACTTTCAATGCTGTTCAAGAACCATATCGCCGCACGTTCAAAGATGTAAGTTTTTCCGAAAGATTACAGGATGAGATGCCAATCAAAAAAAATTATTGACATTACCTAAAGAATAACACACACAGAAAACAACAGTAATGGAACTTCTTCCACAAGATATTCCGGAAATTGACGGGAAATGTTTCGTCGCCCCGAAACAGCGAGAAAATATTGTCCCTTTCAGCTCTCCCTTTCAGCACTCGATAGAAAAGAGTGAAAATGCGACAGCATTTTCTTAAATTTGCAGAACATCTAGTTGTACATAATTTCACTAGAGCTAATAACGTATATTTGTACCCTACACAAAATTTCATCGATCATGTTTGTACCAATGTACCAACCGAGGCGTTTATTCACCATTGAACAAACGCCTCGGACTTTTCTAGTAGACGCAACGAAGCGACTACATATCTACTAGGCAAAACGACAGTCCGAAATGGTTGCGACGAAGCCTGCGAGACGCTTCATCTTCGTGCAGCGAGCACAATTTGCTCGCAAAACCACCGCGCGCTCGTCTCCGTCCCCGCGCGCGTCGAGAGCTCTTTCGAATTTTCGCGCGCGCGCCGCCGAGTGTCACGTGACTGCGGCGGCGGCGGCTGTAGGCGGCGCCAGCGGCATGAACGTGGCGCGACGCGCGTTGCGTCAGTGTTCCGTGAGCTTCCGTCGCGTTCTGTTCGTCTCGTTCGACCGACTCGTTTTCTCTCTCTCTCGAGTCACGGGAGGGAGGGAGGGAGGGGAGGGAGCTGCTGCAGCCCGCCGCGTCGCGTCGCGCCGCGCCGTCATTGCCGCCGCCGCCTGCAGCCGCGAGAGCCGTCGCGAAACGCCACGAGACAAAAGTGCCTTCTTCCTACGCCGCGCGTACTACACAGCCGACGAGATGGCGGACGACAGCCACGAGAACGGCACCAGTAACGGCGACGTGCCGGAGATCGAGCTGATCATCAAGGTGAGTGTGCCACACGCGCGCTCTCGAGGATCGTCGTCGCCGCGCGAGATGCTTAGTCAAATGGCGGGAGGGGCGCGGAGAAGGGGTGGGGACGAGGAAAGAGGCAGGTGAAGACGAAGGAAGAGAGAGGCGATCCCGTGTCCCGTGCCGTGCGCGACGTATGGGCGTGGAACGACCACCGGGGCCTCCCGCGGGAATCCCACGGAGATTATTTCCTCGTTCCACTTTCTCGCGACCGTGAAAATCGTTGGAGAGACCGACCGTTAGCGAGCGCGAGCGACCGGTAGGAGTCGCGCGAGATCGCCCAGCCGCGGAAATAATCCACGGTGTGACCGTTGACCGTTAGCCCGTTCTCGCAGCGCGGCGTTCCGGTCTCTCCTCCCTTTCGTGCTCGTCTTTTGTTTTTATTTCGCGTTTCACATTCGTGCTCGCGATGAATGTCGGGGGCCGTTGCGTCAGTCTGGCCGCCCAGCTTTCCAAGTATTCAGCGAGCGAGCAAAGGAACGACGACGATGCACGCGGGTGCAGTGCGTGTGTACGTGATGCGTAATAATGCCGTCGCTGCGCGTTTTCTTCTCGTGAAGCGAGCGAGCGAGCGAACGAGTACGATTCCGCCGCTGGCTTTGGAAGACTCGCTTTGCTGGGTGCACGTGTGACCCGAGGACATCGGCTCGTATCTAACGTTAAATCAGGGACTCGGGAACCGGTTTGCGGTCGTTGAGGTCGATCCCTCATGGCACGGACGCGCGAAAATGATCCCCCCGCGCCCCGGCCGTTGCGTTTCCTTCGTCGCAATCGCGGAGATCGCGCCGGGTGCTTCTCTCATTTCCAGCTGTACCTTCTGCACTCGACAGATCACGCGTAGACGATTGACGTCCGTAACGTCGTAACATTTCAAAAGCCGCTGGCCTCGACCGAATCGAGTGAGAAGATTTGAGAAAGAGGGGAAGAGAGAGAGAGAGAAAGAGAGAGAGAGAGAGAGAGAAGAATATTCTAAAGATGGACGTAAATCGAGTTAAGTGATGCCTTTGTGCGATATCGCGGCAGACAGAAGTTCAACCTCGATATGTATACCATAAGCAGAGGGGCACACAAGCGTGTCTCTCTCTCTCTCTCTCTTTCTCTCTCCCTCTCTCTCCCCCTCCTTTCCCCCTCCTTCTCTCGCGTATTATACGCTACACATTTCTTTACGCATGGAGTCATCGAGGGCGCCGACGAGCCAGTCGTGCTGCTGCTGCTGCTGCTTCTTCGTCTGTTGACCGCTTGTGTATTCAGCTTTACATCCGTAGCGCGACGGGGCACGACGAAAAGGCGGCGCCCCTGATATCCGTGTGTGTGTACGTACGTACGTACGCGATGTTGACCGTCACTCCCGAGACGGGAAAAGCGAGCGCGTACCGGAGGCAAAAAGTTGTCCCACGCGCTCGCGGGCGCGAGAAGGATGGAGAGAGAGAGAGAGAGAGAGATAGAGGAAGAGAGAGAGAAAGAGAGACCGTTTTCAGCTGCAACGCGGAAAGCGGTCGCCGCGGGAAAACGAAAGGGGCCGGTCCCGCTAGTGACCACCACGGCGGCGCAATGACCTGGCATTTCGCGAAACTTGCCCCCGCGAGTTTTCGGCCGCGATATTAGGGAATTTTTGCAACACCGTCTCTCTCAGATATGGTAAACGTCGATTGTGAATGCTGTTGGTCGCATACATGGCGCGATGTTATTTCTGCACGAATAGGGAGTTTTTGCAATACCCTCTCTCAGATGCGGTAAACGTTAATCGTGAATGCTGTTAGGGAGTTTCTGCAATGCCGTCTCTCGGATACGGTAAATGTAAGTCGTGAACGTTATTCGCTCAGAAGTAACCAGTCGCGCAATATACGCGACTGGTAGCATTCACGATTTATGTTTACCGTATCTGAGAGATGGTATTGCAAAAACTCCCGATTGCTCGCGTACATTGCGACGTTATTTCTGAGCGAATAACGTTCACGATTTACGTTTACCGTATCTGAGAGACGGTAAACGCAAAAATTGCCTATTATCGAATCAATCGCGATACTCTGATTTCAAATAAAAAAAATTGCAAATTTCGAGGATCGCCACTTTCGCTGTATCTTATCGAATGATGCGGCGTGTCCTAAGAAAGAGAGAGGGAGAGGAAGGAGATCTCGCGATCATGCGTATCGAAGATATCGTCGCCGGAGAAATGTGGAAAGGTCGATCACGGGAAAACCCGCCGCGCCTTGGAATCGAGCAGCGTCGAATCGCGGAAGACGATGAAATAGATGAAATTTCTCGCGCACGAAACAAATGCATAACGCGATCGGAATTCTCGTTTCGCGTCTTCCGCGTGGTCGCCAAGCAGTGAGAATTCAATTGAAGATGCCGGATTGATCTGGAAGTGTCGGAGCAACCATCGGAATCGTGACACTCGCGTTTTCTGTTTTGATTTTCGGACAAAAGGAACGCCGCCCGCGAGTCGAGCTAAAAAAGCGAAGCGTTTACGCGACAGCATACTTTTATTTTTTTTTTTTGAACGGGCACAACGCGATGTAATCGCGATGCCATCACGCATCCATCATCATCTCGCGATATCCATATCGCGGCGTTGCATCAAGATTAGATAGCCGGTGCTCGTGATTGCTGTTTGCTCGCAATTTCGATCGACTCCGTCGCGCGCACGCGCGCGATCGATCCGATCGAAGGGTGAACTCTCGCGCGCCGCGTGAGTTCTCGGAACTTTCTTTTCACCGGGTTTTCAAGGGGGGGAACAACTTCTAAAGTGGAAACAGGCTACCTTGGAGCGGCCATTAAAGAGCTTGCGATTGAACTTTCGCCGGCCGATCGATCGTCTTCTTCTCGGAGAGGAGATACGCTTGAGCATGTTTTGCGCAAAGCATAATAACGGGGAGCGTTATTAACGGTTGCGTATCGCGACGACGCCGCTGCGATTCCGTTCGTCGAAAGCGTCCGTGTGTTATCTAGATCTCTCTTTTTCTCTCTCTCTCTCTCTCTGTACGATTTTCTATTGTAAAGGCGTGCCACGCGCGAATCGCCATATTGGCGCAACCTGTCCTTAAATGTGTCAATGAGAATTCCATACGGCCTTTCAGATAACAGGCTTATCATCCGATTGGAAACGTCAGATAAATATTTAGGTGGCTCGATCAATCGTCCGCCTACGCTACGGAGAATGTTTGCGCGTTCTTGCGAACGATCGCGCGGCTAAAATGGACAGGTCGCGATCGTCGATCTCCCTCCGTGCGATAAAATACCCAAGAAAAGAGTAATTTCAGAACAAGCGGAATTATCTAAATTTTAGAGGATTTTACTCTTATATATGGCCTCAAGAAGATTCTTCTAAGATTAAGAGGAAAATATTATAAATACATTATTTTTAAAGTTAGAGGGATTATATTCTATATATATGATACAACCTTATTGATTTTAATATAAATTTCCTCTTATATACAAGTTATTTAACCTTTTTTTAAGAAGATTATTATTCTTACTGGTTATACTAGTTAGTTTGAAAAAATTATAATGTATAGATAAAAAAAATATATATATATATATACATATATATATATAGAGATGTACTTTTGGCTCCGTTTCTACAGTAAACACACAATGATAAAGGCACAAATGAAACAAGATTATCATAACAAGATAAATTTCCAATCAGTTTTGTTATGGACTTTATAGCTACAAAGATGTTCATCATAACTGATTGTGTGAAGCATAGTTAAAAGAAAGAATATATTATTCAACTTGTTGCAATAGATTGTAAACTGTATTTGACCAGATATGGGTAAATTATCTTCGTTATATGTTACACAGCAACATATATATACCTTTTTTAAAAAACGTTCCAAATATTCTGAACATATTTGAACCATGAACATATTTTTCCGTTCATGTCTGGAGGTAGAGCATAGACTGAACAAAAGAAGCCGATTCAAGACGTTTAAGTTAATATATTCCTCTTCATATAAAAAGAAAATTAATTGATATAAGAGGAAATCCTTTTGTGAAATAAGAGGAAAACGGAATAATATCTAATAAATTTTAAATGAATGGTTCAGTTTAATCGCTTCGTCGAAAGAGAAATCCTTTTTCTGTAAAAAGCTTCGCTTAGAATATGAGACTATGAGAAAAATCACCTGACAAGTAAGTAGAATACTTTTTTTGAGTGAAATGTTGCGAGACAGGATCGAGAGGTCCTGCGCGATTTTTCCACCCGCGGTATCCACGGAGCGACACGAGCAGCGGGTTTATCCGACGGCGTTGTTAGCACTTCGCGAGAAAGAAACGCGATGAAGAGGACTGTATTTATACAACTGCAATCGCGAGAGTCAGACCGCGGCAATTGAACGCGCGCGCTTAAATCGCGAGATTTAGCCGGCGGCGAGAGGTCAACGAAACTGAAGCGCGGCTGAAGCGAATGCGTGTATGATACGGACGTTGCTGCAATTGGAGCATCGTCGCGATTTTTCCCCGGGAGGTGAACGCGCCGGCGGCGGCGTTTCGCCGAGTCATGGAATCTCCTCTTCTTTTCGCGGACACGCGCGCATGCAAATCGCACGAAATTTCGCGCAGTCGTTGTATCCGATTATAACGGCATACCGGGGCGGGCACGCGTGTTAAGTAAGCGGGGAGACCATTTAATTTATTGCTTAACGAGGTCGAACCATACGAGCCGACGAGGCGACGGCCGGTTATACATACCTACGTATATACCGTTGTTGCAAATCGAACATCGACGACGATAGTGGCGGCAGGTAGCACATAGGCGTAATTCTGACGTCGAAATTTCCAAGAGAAAGAGCGAGCGAGCGAGAGAGAGAATGGGGAGAGAGGGCGAGAGGGAGAGACACGATGAGAGACGGCGTGTACGCGCGGCGAGAAGATTTAATGGTAAACCAGCCGACCTTGCACTCGGGAGGCGATCGTGCGAGGTCTCGGTAAGTGTGTCAAACGGGACGAAACGACGAAGCGGCCCGCGCGCG